AAGATTGTCGCCGCTGTGGGAATCGAACCCACGTCTTCGGCATTCGCGGCCTGACGCTCTAGCCACTGAGCTAAACGGCTGATAACCACAGCGACGAAAATCTTAACGCCTTCCTTCTACATTGTTATTTAGCATTTGAAGCAATGCTTGGCCCATCTATTGTTATATCCTTTCCAGCATACAAACAATTTCGAATATCGTTTTACAACGATAATTCGAACGAGAGATGTCGCCATTGCTTTTTATAAATTTTAAAGTTTTTTATAGTGCTAATCTACTTAGAGAAAATCCGTAATTTCATAATGTAGCTAATGAAAAAATCATAATATGTTAAATGCATTCTTCAATAATTCAATAAGATTTCTATTCAGGAATGTTATGGTTTATATTTTAGCGAAAATTTTCAGTGACACTGGATCGAGATATGCTATCTTCACTTCACTTATCAGAGTGCTGGTGGGGTGTTAGACTGGGATGAGATGTCTTTTAGATCGTAATGTTTTCAATGACTGATAATTTGTTTAAATCTAAAGTTTTATCATAATCACTATTTGAACTATCGTCGTCTAAACAACTACATAGGGAAGAGAGTGAGAAAGTATGAGAAAAGTCCTTGCGATACCATAATTGAAGTTTTGCGTAGGTTTACGAACCTTTACCTGGGATATGATAAGTTATGATTTAGTTATGAAAAATACGTCATTTATGTTTCAGTAAACACCAATCATTTTAATACGTTCACGTCGTTGAAACAAATTGTACCCCTAGTTTGTCTAGTTAACTTCCTCCTAAGTTATAAAACTATGTAAAATTAAATACTAAAAATTTGTTGAATAAAAATTGTTTTCTTCATCCAAATGTTGTACGTTACGCTTTATACTGTTTTTGTTACGTTATACGAATGTCTGGGCATTATAAAAATGCCACTGTGAAAGTTCACGTTAATAAATTAGCATTTCGCAATACATCTCACTTAAAACTAATTTTGTGCCAGTTACCGAGTCTAGAGTAAAGATAATTAGGCACAAAGCTCCTCAGGGACACCCGGCGACGGGAATAATGAAAACTGTTAATTTTTAAGCGACGCCATTTTTATTCTGCTTGTTTAAATGCGGCTAATTGGCTCCTTTATAAAATGGCCCATTTATGGTCCATCAATGAGCAATTTTAACAATAAAAGTCGGTTAAAAACGATCTCAAGAAAGAGAGTTAAGGGTGGTAGATTGAAAATCGTAGCAATGCTCTATAATATGTAGAAACAAAATGTATGTGATATTAACAACTAAATCCATAACGTAAGTAATTGTTTAATCAAGTATTTCTTCACTCTTAGAGTACATTTTGATATCATCCTTGATCATGCACCAACTTTACATTCTAACGTCTTCATCACACTCCAATCACTTAATGACCATGAACATTTAATGGTATTAAGTTCTCAAATACTTATCAATAAATCACGATAGTCGCGTTTAGTATTGTTCAAAACGGAAGTAACACAACAACGATTTATTTCAATGTTTATAGTTAATTTGATAAACCAGCAATAAATATTTTTATACAGTGTTACGAAACTCCGCGCTAACTGATAAAAATACTAAAACATACTTTTTATTCTGTAGTACTTCGGAAATATAAACACCCAGATAAACATACTATGTTCGTAGCACAATACTTTTCTAGTAATTCATATCAAGCCTGAAGACAGAGGCTCCTGGCGGAAAATAGGAAGATATGCGGTAGACACCACTATCCTTGCCTAACAAGAGCAAAAGGAACCGACTGAACTTGGACATGAACTTCAGAAATGAAGAATGCTACGAAGAAGAAGAAGAATATCACATCTACAACCTCTAAGGCAAGATACAGGTTCAGATACAGTTCGCTTATTATATTAACTTAGGAATTGTAAATTACAACAGGTAAGCAATATTCACCCGTCATGGATCGGACCATTCCATCAAATTTAATAAAATTCCATCTGTCCGATTTAACCGATCCAGGTTTATCGTACAGTATTTCGTTCAATACCGTATTAAGCCTGTTGCCATTTATCTTAAGTAAAACAGTGATACAAAAAAAACTACAAGCTTTCATTGCAAATCCAAGTCCCTAAGCCATTCCCTTCTTAAAGTTTCGTTTTAAAATGTAATGTTGCATAATTTATATTTAGACCTTTAGACTCGAAACAGTTATTTTCGTTTATTCCTTGAACTTAGACAACGTTGCAAGCATGAACCGAATAAAAGTCAATAGGTACTTGTTTTTATATCTTTAGCTTGTTTTCTCAAATTCACTCTGGTAAAAAAATAAAATACAGCATAATTATCAATTGAATGTTTATTAACCATATTCATGTAAGTAGAATTTGATGTTGCTAACGGGTTTATGAGCAGTTTTTGTATATATTATGTATAAATATACATATATAGTTAGAATCTCGGAAAGGGCTTCCAAGATTTTCATTTTTAAAAAACGTTTTATCCGTGTTTTTAAGCAGTGGAAATCTGCTAAAACATCATTAGAAAGCGAAGGTAAATTTTGCCACCGTTTATAAGGTTATAATATCTCAGGTGGGATCTGGCGGTCCCGAAACCAGAAGACCCCCGTTCGAGGCCAGATGATTTTTTTCCCTTTTTATCAAGTTCTTTCTTGTGAGAAAAAAACCATTATCCAGGTACTATTGGCTTAAGTATTTTTATATTTTTTTTGATTCACGTGAATACAAGAAAACATTAGATAATTATAAAAAATACAGCTTAAGGATACATTCGGAAATGCACGCGTCGACAAATTGTCTTAAGCCAAATTGAACAGAAGTGAAATGCTGAATATCTAGTGCTTTCAAATAAAATTTTACAATGTAAAAAATGTAGATAAAATACATTGAGATTTTCGTCGACGCGGCAATCAGCCGTTATATAAGTGGTAAAGCGTCTAGGCGCGATTCCGGAAAACGCGGGTTCAATTTCCGCGGTGACGGAAAATTTTTCATCCATTTTTCTACTTTTATGTTTCTTCTTAACTGCAGAATAAATTCAAATCCCTAAGTTTATTAACGAATATTATGATTATGGCAATCTTTATTATTTTATCATCAATGTGCTGTTTTCGGACATACGTCGATGGACGACGTTGTCTATTTAAGACACATGTTTTCCTATTCAAATTTAAATAAATCTTTCTGGATAACACTCACCGCCTGCCCTATCATCCGATTTCGCTTGACGTTGATTTATGGGTCATTTTGTAAGAGTTACGTTTAATTATAATATAAGGTAGATTTTATGAGGATTTGTGAGTCATTCGGTTTTAAAACTTTTTTGTTTTGCTTCCTTCTAATATCTCAATGCTAAAAGTTTTGAGCTAGTTTAAAAGTTATTGTAACGTGAACTGTATGCAGCCTAACTTTTTTGGCCCTAGCACTCGCTACGGCCAACCTTAGTTATTTTATAAGAAATTTAGGAATGATTCTCTGCGCATGTGCCGAACACAAGTTGAAACGAATAGCGACTGTGTCGTTCTTTGGCGATTCATAGTGATTTTGGCAGGTAACAGGAAGAAAACTAATAAAACTTGTCTCTATATTCGTAAAGGTACAAAGCACAAGTAATATTTTCATAAAAATAGAATAATCATACAATTTTAAATAGTGCGAATATATTGTATTATTTTAAATGATAACTAAAGCCTTATCACCAACCACCTTCTTGACACCAACAAAATCCGTGAATAAAATCTTATTTATATCATCATTGAAGTTTATGTAGAAAATAAGTCATAAGGGAGTGAAACAAGTACAATACGTAGTGAAATAACATTTTATTAAATCACATCGAAACTTGAAAAGTCGTCAAGTTTTTTCGTAACAACAAGTTTTTTTAACATTATTAAACAAATTAATCGTTTCTATTAAAGTTAGGTATTGAGCTATTACAAAATCATAAATACTAAGTTATCATACGCACTGATTAGGTACTTCATGATTTACGTAAATAAACGTTTTTACGTTATGTTATATTAAACGTATTTAACTATTTTAATCACCCTTGTAACTATGAACTCAGCCGATTTTTTAACAGAAATCATCCTTTGATCGAGAACCTGTATTGGTTCATTTTTGTATAGTTTCACACAGCTTCTATAAATAGTTATGTTCCATTTGACCTGGAATTTGCCTCATCATTTAGTTTTGATGAAATTAACAATAATGAGAAATATTTCTAAATGAAACTATTTTTACCGCGTTTACCACACCTAAATCAGGTTTGATAGACCACAGATTCTTGCAAAAGAACACCTATTCCTTCCTAGGATGATTCCCGAGGCTATTGAAATTAAAAAAACACTAATCTAAATAGAGAATAGGTTGGTCGCTCCCATCAGCTTGGGATCCCATCATCAATAAAATCAAATCTAGGCCCAAACGAACCACTACTGTGAGACAAGATACAATTAGCTCCTTCTGCAAAGATCAGACACTAAATTAATAATAAAAACCGATGATAGCCCGGTTTAACTATGACATGCAGACGTCCAACGTCTCAGTCTGTCCGTGACTATTAACGCTGTAAAGGGTTCAAAACGTCAGAAATTATAATAATTATAATTTTTAACAAAAACAAAACCAATTTCAAACCGGAAACTAAAAAACATTGTTAATACCTATAGCATTTAAGGATTGCCCTCGATTTCTCTGGGATGCCATCATCAGATCCGGGTTTCCTTCATGGTACCACCCTTGGGATATCTCCTTTCCAAAAAAAAAGAATCATCAAAATCGCTTCATAAACGACGAAGTTATCCGCGAACACTCATAAAAAAAAATATATATACGTTCGAATTAAGAAACCTCTCTTTGTTTTGAAGTTGGTTTAAAATTAGAATAAACGTGATAAATCCGTAAAAATTGTTTCATTTATAATACTGCGTAGAGAATTTAAAATAGGGTTTAGAAATAAAACGACAGGATGTACATTACATACTTCACCCGTTTCCTAGAAACGCTTGAATATAACCGTAAACGGCGCATCAATGACTACAGTGAAAACGAATGACACTATAAAGGTCAGCGAGAAATACGACAGGAACTGGTAAATCTGCAATAAAATTTGACAAAACATTGTGTCTAATTCGTATAGGACCGAATAATAACATAATAAAGATTTATAAAAGTAACTTATTTTACACTAGCTGACCCGGCAAACGTTGTTTTGCCATATTAATTATTTCTAGGGAATTTGTGAATCTGAACACAGAAAAAGAATTTTCGGAACACATGCATAAAATGTTTGACAGGTAGGAACAGTTTGTATAGGAATATAAAATTGTTGCCATTTCGATTTTCCATGAAATTTTTCCATCCTTTCCTGAACTGCCACAGATATTTCAAAATCAAAATTAGCCAAATCGGTCTAGCCATTCTCGAGTTTTAGCGAGACTAACGAACAGCAATTCATTTTTATAGATATAGATATATTATATTATTTATTAGTTAGACAAATAACCGATAAAGCGTGCTGATTAAGACACAATAACAAACAATAGAGAATAGTTTAGCAGAAATAACTTTGAAGTCATTTAAGCACTGTACTAAGCCGTGATAGCTCAGTGTCCAGGCGTCCGCTTTTAATTCAAAACACGAGTACTCGAGCAACAGAGTTCAAATCCCGGTGCCGGTAATTAAGTGCCTATTTTATTTCAGTGTAATTTAAGTGCCTATTTATGGCGTGATCAGCGGTGGGGGTAAACGTCGTGAGGAAACCCGTATATATTCGAAATAATAGCAAAAGAAAAACATTTCGAAGATAAGTGATGTCTACGTGGTGGTATGCCCTTATACACTCTGAGACACACACGAGACTTTGCTCAGCAGTGAGACATATATAACGTTACTTTACTTTAATTTAAGCACTTGCAGGAATCTAAGCTAGAGTAGTCGTTATAATCTATGTCCTTAAATACTTACAACGTTTGCTACTGAAAAGTATTGCGGGGAGAGAGCGGTGCCACTGACGACGAGCATAATTGGGTAATGAAACAAGTACATTCCGTAGCTGATCCGGCTTGGGAGTTGCCACATGGGCAAAGAGAGGAACCAGTTGATAGGGCCTGTGACACCAAACGCACATAAATTATAAAATGTTAAAATTCTAAAAAAAATGTTCATTTTTGTGTAGCAAAAAGTATATTGATACAATATTCAATTGCAAGTCGTATATTCATCATAAGCAAGGTTTGTTTTTGCTTATAGTATATATTTTTTAGTATTTCCGTCACGAATCTGTCGTCATAAGACTAAGATATTTAAATTGTTTTTTCTATGTTGGCCTCACACATTAAATTTAATCCTTTTACCTCATTCCCGTTCTTATACTCACCCCCGTATCCGTGCACGCAGGCAAGAACAATCCAGCCAATGGCGATTGCCCAAGACGGCCGCATTAGCGTGTTCAAGGCAGTGTCTGCCGCTTGGTTTTTCCAGTCCAGCTGCTTTACGCAGTAAAGCATATACAGTATCATGCTGATTATGGCGAAACTGAGCGCCCATAGCCACAAAACTAGGAACTGTATTTATTAATATGTGACATTAATTTACTGTATTTATTAATATATTACATTAATATGTGACCGTCATTACTGTAGTTGGGGCACGCAACAGTGTTCGCTGTTGCACGAATCAAAATCAGAATCAAAAAATATATTTATTCACTGCTTGCGCGTCCTTATGAAATGTCAAAATTTGACATAAAATTTAATACGTCCGTAAGTTACCACCGGTTCGGAAAGCAGTTTCTGTTGAGAAGAAACCGGCAAGAAACTCAACAGTTGCTCTTTTGTAAAACGACTAGTTTACAATATAATAGAACATGTCTTATTTTAGCCTACGTGAGTTACTGTTGATACTAACCCCACACATTGGCGTCGTCAAGCAGAGAATGGGCAGATCGGTCCGGGGCAGTACCACGACCTCACAGACCGGCGTGAAGTGGAAGTGTTACACTTCTGAGTTTTGTCTGGTGAGTGAAGTAGCTAGAGCCCATTAAATACACAATCAAAAGGTGGCAACTCATCTGCAAACCTACGGGTGTTGCAAATATCGATGTATCTTGTATCTTGTATTAACTGATGTTTTTGCTTTCAGTCCCGAGACTATTAAAGCTTCATCTGACGCAGAACCGGTGGGCTAGCCAGAACCCACGGGTTTGGACTCTCCGCTGTGGGTAGGGCCCCGCATGTGCTCATGCGTGCGTTTAACTATGGTGTGTCATCTAAGGGCCATCGAGGTCGCGGTTCGGACCGAAACCCCGATGGCCGTCGACTGTGCAATTAGCTAATCGGTGGCTGGGGGCGGTGAAAACCGCCCCGGAACGCGGGTGTACCTTGTGTACGCGTTGTGTTGGTCTCGCCGTGCTCGGAGGCGAGGGCGAACTAGTGTGTTTGTTGTTGCACTAACTGTGGGTGTAGTGTTGTCCGGCGGGACCCCCGGCGGTGGGTCCGGCGTATCTTATGAAATATCGATGTGCGGCGTTTATCACTTAACATCAGGTGAAGCGCCAGCTCGCTGGCCACTTTCTTACATTAAAAAAAAACACGACTGGCACGTTTCTGAATCTTATTGATATATCCAAGCTTATCATATCAGTTTTGAGCTTTTTCTTTTTAAGGAAAGTAAATTACTAAAAAATATATCGCAAAAAGCCTTATCTATACAGATAAATAAAATTGGAGTGTCTGTTTGTAATATTAAAATAACCGCTTTTTTACTAAATGCATATACACGCTACATACAAACATACATACCAAAATAACCTTTTTTACAATTTTTGTCTGTCTGTCTGTCTGTTTGTTCCGGCTAATCTCTGAAACGGCTAGACCGATTTGGACGGGACTTTCACTGGCGGATAGCTGATGTAATAAGGAGTAACTTAGGCTATTTATTTTAGATTTTTATTTTATTTAAAATTCCACGCGGACGAAGTCGCGGGCACATCTAGTTATATACATATATAATGTTACCCAAGCATTTCTATTTTCAATGAAGCCCTATATGTACTCGTATTGTAATTTATCTAGTAAAATTCTGATAAAAACTCTGTACTCACCGTATTAATTTTAATTTTCTTGCCTCGCCATAAATGCAAAATGTACCCGATAAACATGCCGACTAAGAAAGGAGTTACTCGAGACATTATGTGGAAGTAATACTTCCTCATGTAGTATAGCATTTGGTGATTACGTCTGCAACATTGTAGACCAAATATACCAATAGTTGAAACAATTCGCATTTTGTTAAATCATTTATTGGGCTTGTCAAATTCTATCAAGTCAACCGCTAAATGTAAACCACATTTACCTACATATATACCCAAGTAACGCGCGCCCAACGATTTTATTTTTTTGTCTGGACAATGCCCTAAATTGATGAGGAGAGTGGTGTGATGACTAGTATCTAGGACCTATCGAATTATTATTTAGCTTTTAGTACACTGTCTACATCATTCTATTTTCAATATTCTCAATCTTTTTTTCAATAAAACAGTTTAACGTCAAAATTTTTTTTACTCTTTTTTAATATCACTTCTCAGTTGATCAGTTGTAGCCTGAATAAATTGTAAACATAAATTATAAAATCTATACCGGGATGATAATCAAATATACTAAGTATTAAATAAATTACGAATATGATATAACAATGTTGAGGCACTAAACCGGTTAAATATTTGGATTAACCTATCAAGTCAATACTTCGACATATTGCCGAGACTATGTACCTCTCATTAGACTATAAGTCTTCATCTGAATTAGGACTTATCTCTTATTTTGAAATGATTTGAATGCTTTCATTAAATTTCTAATTTTGACTTATGTCATTTAACGGCCATGGATTATTAAGGTTCAAAAGATAATTCAAATACAAAGTTAAAGACATGCTTCGCTTTATATCGAAAGCTGACACTGGAAGTTCATCGAATAAGATATTTTTAATACTTACGAAGGCATTACATAATGGGATGGCAATTTCATGAAAGAATTGTATATGGCCGAGCCGACCAAGGCAACAGATAGGGCTGTCACAAACGCAGACACAGCGACTTGGCGGTTCCCAGTAAGCAGCCAGAAGAGTATCAGGGGCGAGAGTACGTGCAGTTGTATGTCTACTGCAATGTACCAGGAATGAGGAACGCACTGGAGGGCAAGTAGACATTTTATAAACTGAACTAAACATTTTATTTAATAAAACTATAAAAATAAAACTATAATGCAAAACTTTTAACCTTGGTATAGCTGGATAGATTTTTGTCTATTGAAAACAGGGGACATTTTTTTAAAATATAAACTATGTACTCAAAGTAAGAAACAAGTTAGGCATAAATTTAACAATCTTCTAATCTAATACTCTTATCTTGATATTTGGTATACATTAGATGGTGTCTAAGTTGATTGTTAGATAAATCAAAGAATTTAATGGTATAGAATTCATAAAGTTTTCTAGTGGAGTTCCAACTCCACTACTACTGTGAAAACTGTGAATATTCTGGATTATTGTTCAGCATGGCCATAGGAAGAAAGAATAGATATGAGAAGACAAAACTACTTGAATTAGTACGTTAAAAGACTAGCAACAGAGATACTACCATTTCTTTAGGGTTCAGATAGTTTTGCATGTGCAACAAAGTCGTCCACCATAAGGCTCTGCACCTTTCGGCGTTGGTGGCTACAAAGCTCCAGTGGGGTCCATCTGCCACTTTGTGAAATACTGACGCGTCCAAAAGGACCGCTGTTGCGAGCAATGGAAACATACGTAGCAATCTTTTTAAGTAGAATAAATGTATGTTCTTTAAAAGGGCCACTGGAAATTCAAAACATTGATATTAACGACTAATCAAGTACTACTAAACTAAAAACTACTATAATATTAAGGGTTATACGATTTTTACTTTAAAAACTTTTCATCAGATGTTAGTTGAAACCATTTAAATGCAGCAATTATTTTTGTCTTTCGCCATGTGCATTATCTCTATCTCTCCATTTGTCTACTTTTTCTGCTTTCTATCTTATAATGGATATGGGTCTATTATATTTTAATCTTTTCGCTATAAATATTATTACCATGTTTTTTTTTTTTTTTTTTTTTTTTTTTTTTTTAATGTGAAAAGTTGTCAAACGAGCAGACGGTTCACTGATGTTTGGTGAATACCGCCGCCCATGGACATCCACCACACCCGAGGGTTACAGATGCGTTGACAACCTTTTGAAAATTGGGCTCCGGCTACCTCACTCACCAGACGAAACGCGAAAGTATTTGTCATACTTCCACTTTACGCTGGTCTTCTGTAAGGTCGTGGTACTTACCCGGACGGGCCTGTCCATTCGTGCAACAGCCGAGGCTGCTGCGTGGCCCTACCACCGTAAATCTTGGAATTTTTTTAGATTTACTTGGCAACGTTTTAGCCACACATGTTTTTTTTATAATAAAGGAAGGAGACAATAAACCATGCCATTAAGAAATCCAGATACCTATGTAATCGTTTCTTTTTTATATTGCTTTTCGAAAAGTTTTACAAAATACTATTACGAAAGATCTTGTCCTGGTTTCTGAAAAAATGGTTAACAATGCCTGGTATATTTCAATTAAATTCTCGTTAGTTAAGTTTCTAATAAAACAAATGATATATTCAAATTACAAAAAGTTAATAACGATATACCCAAGTACCCCTAAAGAAACCTACCTACCCTTCTCTATTGAAAAGGCTCCTTGTTGTTTACAATGAATAAAATATCAATTGTAATTGAATGAATTCGATACAATCTTTTGTTAAATAATTTTAAAACATAAGTGAGGATTGAAAAGTTCGTAGCCTATTCGAGAAAATAAAATTAAACAAGAAAAAATATTATTAAAATATTTTTGCATGTTTAATTTTATTTTCGCGACACTCACTTTTTTCTAACACAATCTCCATCTACTTCTATACATTTTTTTTCCACTTGGTTCCCAAGGTCCTATAAAATTTAATTTTTTAATTACAAAACCCGCAGTTTTGACCACACTATTATAATTATGTTTTAGGTTTGGAAACATGAAATTTCGAAAGTGTGAAGTAAGGGCAATACTCTTGATAAGGCAGTAGCTTGAAACTAAAATCAAGATTAGCAGGCATGGATAGAAGACTTGATTGCGAGCCTTAACTTTTTGAAACGACACTTTTTTTCTGAGAAATTTCGACGACTCAGTGGCGCAGTTGCCAAGGTATTGGCTTCGGCATCGGGGGTCGTGAGGTCGATTCCCCCATGGGACAACTGTGTGACCCACAGACAGTTGTTTCGCATCCGAGTCTTTATCCAAGAAAAATTTATGTTTTTAAAACGTCCTTACAACATAGGATTATGTTATTCTAAAATAAGGGCAATGATGTTTTTTTTTTATAAAAAAAAAGGAATAATGATAGAAAGAAATCTTGTAAACAACTTGACGTTAAAAATTATTGTTTAGCCTTTGCAAGGTTATGGATGATGATATCCTTAACATCACAATAAAAATTATGCCATCACCTTGTCAGTTACCTACCACAGTCAGGAAGTATCAATTTCTAAGCGCCTGCAAAATTATTATAGCATTTACTATAATCTAGAACAAAATACCGAATTCCATAAAGGCGCCGCATGCAGACGTTGTGAGAACCTGTGAGGCTCGCCTCATAGGTTCTCACAATCATCACAACGTCTGTATTACTAAAACACATAAGTTTCGGCTTGCATATCCATCCTGCCGTCCAAGTAGCCAAAGGGAGACAAATACACCCGTGCGCGACACAGTTACAGGCGTGGTACCTATCTATACAATTCCTGTATCTAATATCATTTAGAAGGAATCACCCTTAAACGCAAGTTCATGATTCTGTCACTCTTGAAAACGTCAACCAGGAAGAAATTAGAATATTATTAAATAAAATACAAAGTAAAATAATATTGTGGAAGACAAAGTATTTCTGAAGCACTCCTGAATACACACACACTACAGATTAAAATGTATATTACGCCTTTTGCAAATACCTTGCATCTTCTTCTTTTAAGTTAATAAATAAATGTCCATTAACTTAAATATTTAATGTTACGTGATGATAGATATAAAATTTGGCAACCGCAAAGTAGTTTTTAGCATTAAAAATTAATGTAATAACAATCAGTTAGACCCAGATACATAAAATAACTCAAAGCAAAACTCACTTCCGTTTAATTTCTTTGCAGTCGTGACTACCAAAAGAATCCCGGTAATAACAAAGAAAGTGTCCACCGTTATCGGTGTCGAAGTAACCCACAACGCTTCCGATGAGACCATCCACTGTTAACGTGAAAGTTATCAGTATCAGTTAAACATTATCTCTTAATACCAAATTATTTATTTGTAAGCGTTGTGATAGCTCAGTGTCCGGGCGCTCGCCTTTAATTCAATATACTCGAGCAACCTGAGTTCGATCCCCGGTGCCGGCACCAATGAAGTTAAAAACTTCATTGGTGCCGGCACCGGTTGCTGATTCGGAAGTGCTGACTTATCACGTGCTCCGCGGTGAAGGAAAACATCGTGAGGAAACCTGCATATTTTCGAAATAATAACAAAAAAATATATATTTCGAAGATATGTGAAGTCCGCCAATCCGCAGTGGGGCCGCGTGGTGGACTATGCCCTGATACCCTCTGTATAGAGGAGGCCTTTGCCCAGCAGTGGGACATGTACACAGCCTACTGTTACTTTACTTTTTTTATTAAACGAAACACTATTACTAACTCACGAAAATGGTTAAATAATTGGTTTGCAGCATGTTCGTTTGAAATAAAATCTAAAATAAGACTCAAAAAGGATCACTTCTCGGATCATTAACTGGCTAGTAATAGAACACTGCATGGCATAGTCACAGGTGGTAAATACGCTATCTCAGTTAAACCTACCGTCCAAGCTGTAAAAGGATTCACGAGAGTTGGCAGCGTGGAGAAAGCGTGGCCAAGAATAACCCACATAATCGCTATAGTCCTAACGCCATCAAGGCATTTCAGGTATTCGGCGCCTTGCGAAAAGTTGAGCAGACGACGTGTGTTGCTATATACAGAGAAGACTTTGTAATGGACATAGGCGCCTTTTAAATCTGAAATGTTACGAACTCGATTGCGATTAAAACCCACCTATTAACTTTTAACACCTATGGGATCAATACTCCAACAAAGTTTAGTATGTGTATTAAAGAATTATTGAAAAGTTTTGAAAAGAGTAGTTGGTATGTGCGTACACGATTTTCTTGTACGTATTTCACGATTTTTTTATTCGTACTATGGTAGAGTTAGAGCTTGCCCTATTGTTCGAATGGGCATGATCGTATAGAGAAATGCCATAACCTCACAGAAAACTGGGACCCACTCTCTAAAAGATTTACATTGCGTTGTAAATCAGCAGCGGAGTTATTAATCTTAAGTGAACGACCACTGGATGTGGCCTCTTCCCATAAAGAAAAGAATAAAACTTGGATTTTTGTTTGTAACATTCCATTTATTCACTTTATATGTATTTAACGTATCTTTGGTTGCCTACAACTTGCCAGTTTCTAGGGGCCTGAACTAGTTCTTGAATATTTATAGATTTTTTTTAATAACTACAATACTATATTGAAAAGAATTTTTCAATATGATTTGGCGAATCGATAACATACGACGTATTTGCCTACAGGAATAAATATATAAATCTCACCTCGCTTTAAGACGAAAACGTAAATCAATTCGTATGCTGAACACAAGATTGTAAGACATCCGATTAAGGTGAAAATAAATCTGAAACCAAAGTGAGTTTGACGTTTAGGACAAAATATAAATCTATTTAAATATATTTAAATCTGTTTTTCAGGGATTATTATCACCTTTGCACTCAGACACATAAATCGTTTGTTCTTCACATTTTGATACATTTTTTTTATATTTGCCATAACCACTATGTAAATTAAAGGTCGTGGACATGTTGTTATAGAGTTCAAAAGTAAACTAAAGTAACAGCCCATACATGTCCCACTGCTGGGCAAAGGCTTCCTCTATACAGAGGGTATCAGGGCATAGTCCACCACGCGGCCCCACTGCGGATTGGCGGACTTCACATATCTTCGAAAAATATTTTTTTTGTTATTATTTCGAAAATATGCAGGTTTCCTAACGATGTTTTCCTTCACCGCGGAGCACGCGATGAGTCACTTAAAGTTAAAAACTTCGTTGGTGCCGCCACCGGGCATCGAACTCAGGTTCCTCGAATATATTGAATTAAAGGCGAACGCCCGGACACACACAATGATATTTTAATGACGATGGCCATACTGCGCGGCCTTTAAAAATTGTACTGCTTTACACCAAATGACAAAATTATGTAAGTGAAAGTGATGACATAAAACGCATGATACGGATTACATCGATGCTACAACTACGCCTAGTTCAGCAACGTCTAAAGGAAAGAAAAAAAAAAAGAAAACTTATGAAAATCTATCAATAAAACATTCAAGCCCTCATGTGGTAATCACAATATATTCTGTTACAGCTACATTTAAGATAAACATACATATTATGTTGTTATTTTATTTTATCGAAAACACTTACATTGCAACATAGTCGACTGACACCCAAGGTTTGTCGTTTGGGAGACGACAGAACACGTCATGATACTGAAAACCGTGGGCAGTGAGGTTGAATAGCAAACCGTTTATAGCGTTTTGAGTAGAACAAGCTTTTGGAATACATATCGCCAATCTCAATACGGTACCCGCAAAAGGATTGGACCTGTAAAGAACATTGTATAAAAAAGTACATACAAATATTCCAATCAGTAAACAAAAGAAACGGAAGGTGAACACTACTTGTGCATAGAAAAAAAATAATGGTTTACAAAAATCCTTATTAAATTGTCATTTAACTTAGCATTATAATATAGTTTTGGGTCAATCATTCTTATCAATTCACAATTTTCATGATGATCAGAAAACTACGTGTATATTTGAAATCGGTAAAGTCACCCATAGAGGACTTCTAACGTACACTGATCATAATAAACACAGCAACTCAACTTATATTCACTGTATACCAGTTTCCTATTATATATAATTTTGTTTGTTAAATCATTTTTTTGTGTCTCTTAGTTCTGTTAGACAATTCATGTTTGTATTTTATAGCTCTTCGCAATTTATCTGATGCGTACATGACAAGTATTACCTGTCATCCAAACCAAAGCCGGACAGTACACGGTAAGCTTTTATCACGGTATAGTATTTCTCCAATATCAGTTCGAAGTCCGCTCCAAGTTTCAATGATTTGAGGTCGATCGAGTCCGCCGCCGCGGAAAGACCAGGAAGGTCGAGATCCTGGCTCACGGGAACCCTTATCACGCAGTATTTGCCCCCAACGTTTGTCCCTTCAAAAGGTAAGTCAATGCCGAGACATTGGTGGTAGTTTCCAAAGTCCTCGGTGTTTCCCTGGAAGAATCCCCTGGGGAATCTAATGCCGGCGTCGAGGACTAAAAGCGAAAATTAGATCTAAAACAAACACGCTGCTAAAAGGAAAATATAATAAACGATATTGTTACAGCGCCACCTATCACGTAAAGGATGCAACATATGCCCAACCATCTTCCTTTATACTTTTGCTGCCTACCTGCGATTTTTGTGTTCTTATTTTCTTTTCGTCGATATATTTAGTTTTATATTGTCGTATGTCCTGTCACGGTCGCCAATGTTAATTCTCTAAAGAATTAACAGATATAATAGGTGCACGTGCATTGGATAAGAAAAACGTAGAATTAGGCGATAAGACAACGATATGGCGGGTCATCAAAAAAGGAAAACGCTTGCGCTAACCCAAAGTAATAATTAGTCACAATGTTAACTTTGCGCTTGATAATAATCGTATCATTTTCAACCTTAAAAATAATTTCAAGCTCTCACTTTCTTCTAACGTGAGAGATAATTATATATCTCAAAGTGCAGTCCATGTTTTGCAGACCTCTTATAAAAACTTACAGTTTTGCTTTAACGTTTTTCCGATAAGTCTATTAGAGCTTGACATACCCGTAGGGACATCGAAAATTCAATGGTCCACGGTAAATTGAGCCTAACCGTTACGGCGTATATGTAATCAGGTCACAACTGCTATATACTTTATATTTTGCAAGATTCACTTTGCTTACGACATTTACTTTTGTAGTCTACCGACAGGAAAAAAGTAGTTTCGATTTGTAAACAGAATGTTTTTTTTATCAAAATACTTCAAGATAATCTTATTTTTATACGGAGGTTGAAGAGATTTTATTCCTTTATTTCGTCTCGTGTGTGAGGTAGCAGGGGCCCATTTCATTAAAAGTTGGCAACGCATTAGTAACCACCTACGGCAAATGTCAATGAGCGGTGTTTATTACATTTATTAACATCAGGTGAACCAAAAGCTCGCTTGCTACCTTCGAAAATAAAAATAAAGGTATTATACCTATATTTATCAAATACTATGTTGTGGCTATAAAATATTAATATGTAAATGAGTTGTGAGTGCGCTTCTAAGCCAATGTAACATGCGTCCGCTTTAAAAGGTTTTTATTTGCACCCATACGATTACAAATATAAAATTAAATCAATATAAAATACCGATATAGACGAGATAAAATATGTTTAAAATTAAGTAGAATATAGTGTCACAATGGAATACAACAATAACAAAAAATACAAATTCATTTTGGGGTGGCCAAGCTAGTAAAGATAAATGTCAATAGAATCTCTTAAGGTTGAAAACTTACATTGCGCCAATAGTAATGAATTATTTCTTGACAGAAATCTTAATTGTCGCTGGCATAGTTCCGGATTCAAGACTTTCTCGTATAGATTTAAATCAAACGTCGGGCTTGAATTGATATCGCTAATTATTTTGAGACGAGCGTTGGTCGAAACAAATAAAACGCTTAAATAAATTAATACTAACAGAGGTTTCCTTTTCATTTTTCTAACATTCCTCCTATTTAGGACATAAATCCTGTTTAATCCATGTTTTAACTGACTCCAAAAGGAAAGAGATCAATAACAAATATCAATTAAGATTTTTGTTTTAACCCGATAGCAATTAAACGTTACGAGTTATTTGAATATTATACTCAAAGCAAATGAACTCAAATAACTTGCATTGAACTTTTCGTTGTTTTTTATTCAATATGTTGCAATTTGTTTATAAAAAGTCACAGTATGGAGGAATTAATGAAAATTATTACTATTATTTTATACTAGGTAGGTTCAATTATTGATTTTATAAAGGTACATCTTTTCAATGACAGCCCACCTGTGCGAACACAATACTCTTGATCCCTGATTGCTCGGTTATTTTGAAATAGTTATTCTGTCTTATTATATGCAGACCAATGCCTTATATTATTCTTACTGCTATTCTTGACATATGTCATCGCTATTACAGAAATTCTTTCCTTTTTAGTAAAATGCGACATTAACGCCCGGTTTCTGAAACAATGATTATCGTAGAAGTCAACTAACCAGCGGCTTTTCAAATGTTATTTAAGTTGCCAAAAGGATTGTTAAACTCTATGAAGTGATCAGAATGATCTTAACGATCAGCATGAGATCAGTTGACTTCTACGATTATCAGTGTTTCAGAAACCGGACGTGAATGCCACCTATTAAAATTTTTTTCAATATAAATTAATGTGTACCTCGCAAACATTCAATCTACAGTGGAAATTCGTTATTCGTAGTAAATTACCGCATTATCTAAAAAAAGTGAAATGTTATTTATTACGTTTGAGCGTTAATTGTTTCAGATTTTGGTAAATAATTGTTATCGTTCTTCTATAAATCTATGCTAGGTATATTGTAAAATCATAAACTAAAAGTGAAAATTTGGTAAGTTTGTGTTTAAGGTAAACTTCGTAACCCTCTCTTCTTGTCATTTTTTCATTTATAGTGTATTTATATGTTTTCAATATTCCCTTTAATGTACCTACCCCGTAAAATTCTTCACGAAGTATATTAGGTATAAGTGACGAAATATTTGACGTAATCTAATTTGTACTCGGGCAAAGTGTTAACAATATAGGTTATTCTATATATCACTATATAATATAGCACCGCTGTCTTTGAGTCCTTATGTATCTTAGATCTTTAAAACTACGCAACGGATCTCGATGCGGTTTTTTTTAATAGATAGAGTGATTTAAGAGGAAGGGTAATATGTATAATACATTGCACCCGTGCGAAGCCGGTGCGGGTCGCTAGTACTTAATATATTCAACGTTTCGTACCATAATTAATCAGTTAGATGTTTTCTTTCTCTTCATCCCGCAAACGATTTTATTAGATTTCTGTTATTGCGGGCATCCTTACTTCCTTACTAATATTATATAGGCGAGTTTGTATGTATGGATGGATGTTTGTTAATCTTTCACGAAAATACTACTGAATGGATTTTAATGAGACTTTACAATAACATTTTTTTTTTATTTTAAAAGTTGCCAAACGAGCAGCCGGTTCACCTGATGTTAAGTGAATACCACCGCCCATAGACATCTGCTACACCCGAGGGTTACAGATGCGTTGACAACCTTTTGAAAATCGGGCTCCGGCTACCTCACTCACCAGACGAAACGCGAAAGTATTTGTCCTACTTCCACTTTACGCCGGTCTTCAGTGAGGTCGTGGTACTTACCTGGACGAGCCTGCCCATTCGTGCAACAGACACGCTGTATATAGGAAACAAAGTAATTTCGATTATTAAAGTAATATTTTTATTGAAACATGGTTAATAAAACAATATAAATTGTAAATATTATTGAATTATTACACCTCTAATATATTTTATTTAACTGGCATGGCGCTTTGGATAAAAGGCCATTCAAAGTATACAACTTTCAACCGAATCAATGGAAATTTGTCCTTGGCGCTAATTCGTGTGCCTCTAACTGCTCCACTCGCTTCCATTTTGTTTGTGTCATACCTGAAAATTAAAAAAAAATAAAGTGACAGTTAACACTTATACACGTCCTATTGCTAGGAAAGCCTCCTGTGCAAGTGAGTATTGGGGCATAGTCACTACGGATTGGCGGACTTCACATATTATCTGCGAAATGTTTGAATCTTCACATAATATATTTTTATTACGTTTTCATCACCGTTGAGCACGTAATATGTCAGCACTCATTAACTTTCATTGGTGGGATGATGAGTGGAAAAGTATGATGAATTATTAGGCTCTTTCAAGTGGAATTGAATGTACTGTATACATACACGTTTGTTATATTTGTCAAATTATGTTTAAAAAAAACTGACCCGCTGAGTTCCTTTAGCCGGTTCTTCTCAAGTCAGTGTTTTTTTTCCCGAATCAGTAGTAATTTTTTGACAATCTATAAGTAAGTGTAATACACTGCTACCAGCAACTCACCTCTGTCTAGAAGACGCCTGAAGATAATAGTAAACGGCGCGTCTATTGTCACGGTTAGAACGAATGAGGCTACAAAAGAAATCGCCATATGCGCCAGGCATTGGAACAGCTGAAAATATGGGTCCTTGTGATTTCGTAGAAACTTTAAGTGACTAGAAGTATCAGACATAATGAAAATTTCAACATTACAACTTCTGACAACATCGTTAATTTGAAAAGTTGCTAACTTTATCCATACTAAAGTGTCCAAAGCACGTTATTCTATATTTTGTATAATTAAAAAAAAACGTGTTTTCAGTTGAGGTTACCTCGGAGCATCAAATCGTGGTACTTTCACTAAAACATAGCTGCGTTTATAAACTAAATACGTAAAGTCTACCAAACAAATGTTCAGCTGGATAATGTCACATTTGCAAAAAGCGCCCTTCATATTTGTAATTGTAACGCAATCAAGTTTCAGGTCGCCGATAACGAAATCATTACTGCTCAGAAAGAGCCTAAGACTTATCGATTGTGATTTAATAGAAATTACATAGTTCGGAATGGAGAAATACGGCGACGATACGGCGGTGCCGTTGACTACGAACATTATGGGGTAGTGGAACAAGTACATTCCGTAGCTGATCCGCCCTGGCAGTCGCCACATGGGTAAGGACAGGAACCAGTCGATGGGACCTGTGGAAAAATCTAATATCATCTGAATAACAAAAAACAATCAAGGCATAAAATGTGTCTTTTAAAATAATAATACGATGAAGAATTTAACGGCCATTCTTCACGACACAAATTAATATAACCGAAGCATATTTATAAAAAAATCAGTCGCATATGTCGACAAATAAATCGGCCGTGCGTGTTATTCATTCGTTGAAAAATACAATATTTTCATAATATCTTCATAGTTGTCCAAAAGATTTTATTTAAATGTATTTCATTAAATTAAAGATGCGAATCAATAACATTTAAAATGCGATATACCAACAAAATGTGAACTTGTAAACGCTAGACTATGATGGCTACTAAATGTATAAACACTTTGTTTTCGGTTTCAATAAAAACAAAAAGACGAAGCAGGCAAATCTTGATGAAACACAATTACTCTATCTACCTCTGAAATGCTTTTAACATTGGAGTATATGGTAAAATACTTCATTTATATGCTTTCCTCTATCTAACTCATCAGCTTCCACGCTGTAACATAAAATTTAGCTCTCAAGCTCAAGGCAACGGGTCCCAAATCAAGCGTATATTTAACGTAGTAGCGTTGCTATCTCTCTCTGCTTCTATGTACCTCATTCTGCACTTTCTTTCTCTTCCTTTCTTCATGTCTTTCTCTCTATCTCTCGTCTTCTTCTCACCTCCGTATCCATGCACGCAGGCGAGGACCATCCAGCCAACGGCGGCTGCCCACGCCGGCCGCATCAGAATGTTCAAGGCAGTGTCCACTGCTTGGTTATTCCAGTTCAGCTGCTTCACGCGGTAGAGCATGTACAGCGTGAAGCCCATCACCAGGAAGGTGAGTGCCCACAGGCAAACGGCTACGATCTGTGAAACAACCCGATTGGCGCATTGGAGTGAACCTGACACTTGCAGCAGTTATGGGTTCGATCCCCACTACTGGAAAACAATATTGTGTGACGAAGGATACCGTTTATCGAGTGTCTGGGAATTTATAAACCAAAAATATAAATAAATAAATAAATAATGAATAAATTAAAATAAATCTAAATTTTCGGACACATTTTTACACAACCTTATCTGGTCCCAAACTAAGATCAATTAATAAATAAAAAAAATAAAAAAAAATTTCGGACACATTTTTACAGAACATTCTCTAGTAGCAAACTAAGCAACGCTTATACTATGGGTACTAAAAAACTGATAAACATACTTAAACAAACTTTTCTTTTGTAAATAAATATATATTCTACATAATTATACCATACACTGGAAAAACACTATGTTCAGCGCACAATATTTTTCGGATCGGGATTTTTAGGATCGAACCCACACATGCAAGAGGCAGGTTTACTAACCGCTACGCCAATCGGGTCGTCAAAGTTGTGCATTTATTTACAGAAGAAAATTGTACTTAAGAATGTTTATGAATCAAATACTATTGAGTTTAAAAAAAGTGAATCGGACCAAGATCGCCTTCGAGACACCAATGATAGAAGCTGCTTGTGTTTTATCCACTCACTTTATTCATTATTACTATCCTCCTGCGCCATAGATGCAGCAAGTAGCCAAATGCCATGCCAACCAGGAACGGGGTGATTCGCGACATCACGTGGAAGTAATACTTCGTCATGTAGTCGAACAGCTGGCTATCACGTCTACAATATGAGAGAAGGAACATTGGGATATTGTCGTAATATTAATTAATTTCATTGGTTTCGTCTGACTTGTATCTAAGTCGTTCTACGTCCTTGACGCGTGATATTTACGCTTTCAGTCGCCAAATAAATTCTAGCTGTAGCTGTTTTTATCCTAATATACTACAGGCCCAAAATTGTGTATACACTATTTAAATGCATTTAAATTTATTAACTGTTAAATTATTTATGAAGAACAAGATGAACAAATATCCCTTAGGTTATCATGAAACTCTCTGGTGACAAGTAAGTTTAAGCAAGCTTAGAACAGTATGGATTGTTATTTTATTTTGTTTCCTTAACGTCGAATTTTGATTTTCTGTAAAATATCTATATAAGTTTTTTAGAGCTACGCTGTGTCTAACATGGACTCATGGTCAAGGTTCAAAAAATACTTTTGAGGAAAATTAAAAAAATATGGATTATGATTTTTCGTGTTTTAACTCTAAAAATTTAAACTCAAGAGACACTAATCATCCGTAAGTCAGTTTTATAAAACATCATAGTTAAAATATATTATCTACATTTTAAAACGTATAGCTTAGAATACTATAGAAAGAAGTACGCACGATGGTGAAAAAGTGTGGGATGGCAACTCCAAGGCGCAATTATAAATGGCCGAGGCGCCCATCGCGACGGCCAGTGTTGCCACTACCGCCGACCAGGCCGTTTGCTGTCTGCCATTCAGCAGCCAGAAGAGTAGCACGGGCGATAGAATGTGCAGTTGTATGTCCAGTGCAACGTACCACGAATGAGGGACGCACTGTGTAAACCAAAATAAAACTATGAAGATAATATATAAATATATATGTATCATGTTACATACATAACTGTACAGTGTTACATAGATAAATTCGAATTTAATTAAAGAAAAGAAAGCAAAAGGGTTTTGACAATGGATATCCATCGATAGGAATAAGTAAGGAACGTAAAAAAATCTCCATTTCATTCAACGTTTTAGTTATTTATTAGGCTTACGAAAAGTTACGGCTGATTGAAAATTACTCGAATAAAAATTAGTAGTATAACAGTACCACCAGGAAGTACCACGACCTCACAGAAGAACGGCTTTAAGTGGAATTTATATACTTCTGCGTTTCGTCTGGTGAGTGAGGTAGCCGGGGCACCACTTCATTAAAACTGGCAACGGATCTGTAACCCTACGGGTGTAGCAAATTTTTTTTTATGTGCCAAGCGAGCATACGGTTCACCTGATGTTAAGTGAATACCATAGACATTTGCTACACCATTTGCAAATGTCCAAGGGGGGGGTTATCCCTTAACATCAGGCGAGCACCTAGCTTGCCATCGTTAAAAAAAGATGACTATTTAAAACCTAGGAAAATGTCATAGGAGACAAGGCGCCAACAGAATAATCTACAAATAAAGTAGCGAGTTAAATCAATTTGTTCCCTTTACACAGATATATTATGGGTCACATTTGGATTTTTTGTAGGGTATCTTAAAATTTGAATACTATCATAACATCGCCGTTTCTAAGCAACATAAGATATAATTTATTCAAAGAAAATACTTTATCATGGTGATCGCGATTCGAAAGAAGTCGTGAAAGCGTGAAACGTCGTTCCTGTCTTGTCAAGTTTCACTTGAAAGTTCCATGTCAGTACAGAAAATTCGTTGCTTCTCCGATTGCTCTATCCATAGAGGCCATACAATGTAGTGTCAAACACGAGGTCGTACCAAGTAGCATCGCGATTGGTACACCAATACAAGCTCACCATCTTCCTGGGGTTGAGATAGTTCTGCAAGTGGAGCAGCGTCGTCCACCAGAAAATCCTGCACCTCTCGGCGTTTGTGGCCACCGGAGTCCAGTACGGCCCATCCGCTATCTTGTGGAACAGCGATGCGTCCAAAATCACGGCCGTAGCGAGCAATGGGAGCATACGCAACATCCTGTTCAAGTAGAACAGATGGAGTCTCCTCACTAGTGTCACTGGAACACAAAACCAGCAATGATTGGGCTGTACAGTTTGGAAATTTATAGTGAATAACGTATAAGAAATAAAATAAAGCAACAATTAATAATAAATTTAAGCGTATTACAGTTCATTTCCACTTAACAGATACGTCGTACGCACTGCGGTAAAATAAAGGGTAGAGTAGAATTATTTATACTATTGCAATTATATAGTCTGTTCTGCGTAGTTTAAAAATCGGTGCATGTACTATGTCAGCCGAAGTCATTCGTGTTCTTTAATAATTGAAGAGCAAATGAGAAATAGAACTAAAGACCGAACGAAAAATAAAAACAGTTTAAAAAACCTAGGCTAACGTAAAATCTATCCGGTAAATGTTCTGTTCATTCTTTCAACTTATCTAACCGGTCCTTATGAAAGACGGTTAAAGTGAATTATAACAGAATTGCTTTGAATGTTTTTCTATCAATGATTTTTTTTTTTTGATATATGATAGACAAACAATAAAGACATAAAAATAGTAACTATGGTGGGCCTAGGTCCGAAGCTCAATCTGAAGGATCCCTCAACTCAATTCTCATCACTTCCAACGGGCACATACCAAGTAGAAAAGCTAAACTATATAAAGCTGTACTGAGCTCTATAAGCCCAACCAAATCATTCGATATTAATGAAACGGTCACACTAACTGCCGTCCATTTTCTTGGCGGTCGTGTAAACCAAAAGGATGCCGGTCATAACGAAGAACGTGTCCACAGTAACCGGTGCAGCCGTGATCCAAAGACCACCAGCCGATAGCATCCACTGCAAATATTTAAGTTTATCTATGGCAGCGTGAACTAAAAAGGTCATTCAACCCAAACGGAATAAACAGAGAGAGATGAACACTTTACGTTTCACCGATCTTATTTGAGTACCAAAAATAGTATAAAAATTGTGGTCACACAATTATGCTCCGATGTAGGTTTTGCCAGTTATTCCTTATTATATATATACAATACTTCAACTTACCTCCCTAAAAGAGATGAATATCAAAAATAGGCGAAATGACGATACAAAAGGGGAAATCGTCGAATCAGTATAGTGTAAAATGTAAATCTGTAATCTTTGGTAACCCCATAAGACAAACAGCGTGAATCTTTTAAGTACGTATATCCAGATGGGAGCTTCTTGCTTAAGATTACAGATTACGCCGTTGTATTTTGTAAGGATAAGATTATTTTAATTAATCTTCCGAAAACAATTGCATGTTGCAACTATAAAAGTAGTGGCAATGTACTGTGAGCGATTTCAGATTTTACTATCTTGACTGCTAAAAAATATCTATTAAACTGAGAAGGAACCTACCGCCCATTCTTCATAGGGGTTTTGCAAGAACGAAAGAGACGAGAAGACGTGACTGAAGATGACCCACGCCGTCGTAATGGTTCTTATTCCATCAAGGCATTCCAGTGTATCCGCATTTTGCGGGAAGCTGATCAAACGTTGCGTGTTGGTGTAAACAGAGAATGCCCTAAAGTGGATGTTCGCGCCGTTTGCATCTGGAAAAAATGTCACGTTGCACTTCGACGCCATCTACGATAGGAGTGATGCAATCGTCCGAAACACACAAGCTAATGTGAAATTAAATATTAAGTATAAAACAAAGTGGTCCCGCCGTTTGTCTGTCCCGCAACGGACGCAACGGATCTTGATGCGGTTTTTTTTTTAATAGATAGAGTGATTCAAGAGGAAGGTTCATATGTATAATACATTGCACCTGCGCGAAGCCGGGGCGGGTCGCTAGTGATATTATAGTCAAAAGTTTCTGCTTATCTTGGAATTAAAAAACCGTTAGCCCGTTTGATTTTCTATTTGTCTTTAAGATAGTATTCATATCGCAAGGAAAATCGCGTTTAAGACGTAAAATCAACGCAAACTCACCACGCTTCAAGACGAAAATGTAAAACAGCTCGTATGAGGTGCTCAGTAAAGTCAAAATGGCAATCATCGATAAAAATAATCTAAAAAAAAAGGAAAAAAAAAAAGCTCTAAATACTTTGTTAAATTCAATACAAGATATTTTGTGTAAAAAGCAATCAGATCCACAAGATTAAAAATGTTTTTTTTTTAAATAATTTCGTCAGTGAACCATGATGCTAATGAACTAAATTAAAATATTTAAGTTACAATAGTATTTCGAAATATGCAACTTCAAATTGTAATTTTTTATAGATAAATGAACAAAAACTTTCGGCGGGGTTCGAACCTGCTCTTCTGGTTTCGCACCCAGACGCTTAAACATGGTTAAACTTTAAATTTACAATATAACTTTGTATGGTGTTATTATTTGGTGTTGTATGCTGTAAAGGATACTCGGTAGATGGCGCCGAAAGTGTTTAATAATTTATCTACAAAAAAATTTAATTTAAAGAATCACTATATAGTATAAAACAAAGTCGTCCTGCTATCTGTCTGTATGCTTAGATCTTTAAAACTACGCCACGGATCTTGATGCGGGTATTCTACTCGATAGAATGATTCAAGAGGAAGGTTTGTATGTGTAATACATTGCACCCGTGCGAAGCCGGGGCGGGTCGCTAGTTAATTATAGTTTGCTAATATTAATTACACATCACGTAGTTTTACCTTTAAAAAGCAATAACTAAACAAAACTGGAGCTGAAAGAGGACTTACACTGCAACGGAATCGGCTAACACCCACGGTTTGTCGTTGGGTAGACGACAGAACTCCTCACCGTACTGGAACCCGATTGAGCTGACGTTAAAAAGTAACGCACTTACAGCCTCCTTAATCGTACACGGCCGTGGGACGCAGACCGCCAGTCTGAACACGGTACCGGACAGTGCATTGTCTCTGGAACGGACGATGCAATTCTAAATTTAAATGGACAGTACAAACTGTGTCCGTAATATCCTTATCGTCTTAAAAAAATCTTATGTCTATTATGATATGTGCCATGAAGATAAAAAAAAAAAAGGAAAAAGGGATAGATCTCGACATTTTCACGCAGTGACATCATCGAGCATCACTCTAGCTTAGTTGGTACGGTCTGATTAACTACACGGCGCAAGTTCGAATCCCGCATACAAAATTTTTTGACCATTTCTCTATAAAAAATCATGTTTTAAGTTCCATTCAAGGCACCAATTTTTCAATTCTTTGATAGTAAGCATGCAGGTGTCATGTACTTATCCGAGGGTCCATTAATGTAGTACTCATCCATTCAAGGTTTTTTACTCCATTATTAGCATCCTTGCTACTTTTTCTTCTTTAACTTATGAGCTAGGCTCTTGTCGGTGCAGCATCCCAGTAGTTCAGATGTGTAACACCCTCCATCATTCCCTGTTCATAGCCGTTTCTTTTGCCTCTCCTGCTTTTATCTTATTTAATTGTTTATCCTTGCTACTACACCAATTAAAAAGCAAACATATAAACAAAATTACCTGTGATCTGACGTTGCAATAGACAATGCACGATATGCCTTAATAAAAGCATAATATTTTTCCATCAACCAGTTTGGCACTGGTCCTAGCTTCAGTATGTTAACATCAAGTGATTCAACAGGCCCAGAGAAGCCAGGCAGAATTAAATCCTGATACAAAGGCACATGTACAATGCAGTATTTGCCAGTTATTCTTGACCCGTCATGGGGCTCGTTTATTTCCAGACATTGATAATAGTTTCCATAATCCACTGAGTTGCCTACGAAAATCCCTCGCGGTACTCTGATGCCGGCATCCAAAACTGAAAACAAAGCCATAAAGACCATTGTAATTATCTGATGTTGTTTCAGAAGAAACCTACGTTTTAGAGTTCCCATAGGCCCATACAAGATTTTCAAATACTAATTGGTAATAGATATTAAATAATCCTCTAGTAACTAGAGGAATATTTAATTGGTTTGTTTCAATTTATAATTCCTAAGCATTGTGCAAAAGTATTGGTTTTATATTTAGTGTAAATTTAACTGCAAACTTTATTTGAAATGATCCAACTGCTACCTAATGACAAACTACTTATCATTACTATCTCTATAAACTTGCAAGATAAAACCATCTACAACTTACATCTTGATAACAGGATGGAATTATTGAGTACCATGAATCTTATTTGTTTTTGACACAGTTTTGCATTCAATACTTCTTCATAAAGATTATAATCAAATACTGGACTGAGCATGTTTTCATCAGTTATAAAATGTGCATCAGTAGTAACAAGATACAAAACACTTAAATAAAATAAAAAAAGAAATTTTATTTAATTTAATTCATAGCATAGAATTTATTTTATTTGTATCTTTAAGAGAAAATATAAGGAACCCCATTGCTAGACAAACGCTTCCTATGTACAATTTACCTAAGTCTCTTAATATTAATCAATTAATCATTACTTGTATAATAACAGCATAAGTAAAAAAAGTTTTACTTATCTAGAGTTAATTTTAAATGTCAATCAAATAAAATTGTAGGTATAGAAAGTGAATTATGTTTTCATTAATACTCTAAATATTGAAAAAAGTATGTTTTCTGATTCCATTTATTTATTGGCAGTTATTTGTGTACAAGGGATAATTTTAAAAGAAATTACTAGGGGATTTAAGAAAGAAATCTGGGTATTAAGTTATCTAACATACATTAATTTGTGTTACTCATCCTACTTTTAATGTTTGAGGATTAAGTATCAGAAATTGGCTTTCCTTATTTAGATAGACAAAGATCATCTAATTTTATAATAAAGATACCAATAGTAGTTTTGGGTTATTAATTTTCTTGCACTTTTTTATTAAACAACACAAATGGTGTTGATAATGAAAAACCTCTCTTGCTCTAGAGGGTGTGTTTGGAGATAAATCTCTACTACGGGATAAAAAAGTTTTTATGTATTTATAAGTGTTTGTCGAGTCGATAATACTAATTACAAAATAAAAGTAGGTTCTTGCTTAGGTTCGGAATGGAAAATGGAGTTAATAATTGTGTCCCAAACTATTTGTCCCTTTTCTAATGCATCTTTATACTTATAATAATATATACAATAATAATGAGCTAAACATCATTCAATTACCATTTTTGCCTTTTCATACAGTATTTTTAAAGAGTATGGGTCATGCTTGGTTTTACATCAAGTTGTTGTAAGCTGTTATTTAGAATAGTAAACTTCTTAACAATATTTCATTTATGTATTGTAATTTTTTAACGTCCATAGCATTTAATGAACAATTTCTTGTAAGCATTTTGCACACAGCTGGTTGCTATTTATTATTGTGAATGAATATTTATTATTGTACAAATTAATTTATTGGTTGTTGATAAAAAGAAAGGCAAATGTAAATAAAATTTTGATTTTCATTCCTGAGAAAAAGCTGCTGTATATTTTTAATATTTTCTTATTTTTAATTAAAGGAACTTACAATTACCTTACCTTAACCAAAATAATGGCATTTTAAACTTCTTTGTAGCTAGTTTTAATATGAAAATCCGTGTTCAGTCAAAAGTAAAATATTATCATTTGAACGATGATTTTACACGTAACATGTTTTTTGTATTGTATATTAATGAATCCTATGTATTTAATAGAATTGAGACGTAAACGTTAAACGTAGTAAATATGTATCATATCTCGTTAATAATGTATCATCTATTTATATCTACTACTACCTCAATTTACCTCAATCAATGTCATTTGTCAAGTATTTGACCGTTGACGACACAGATCTTCTATAATGAATACAATTATTATTTTGAAAATGGTATTAAATTACACAATTATTTATTTTCAAAATGTAATTGTATTAAATCCACAAACATCATGAATATTATGCCTACAGTCTTACAAATTATTTCAAGATAGCATATTCAATGTTGCATGTATAATTAAAGATTTCTAATGAATACGTTAATATTCAAACTTTTTAAAACCAGTGTGCATTAATCACGAAATTTTTATGCCATGTCTTTTACCACGATACTTTTTAAGTGTAGGTGCCCAAATAATTATATGATAAGGTTAAAATATATTAATTAACGTTTCCTGTTAGTTTAATACTCGCGATGCAGTCCGACAACCCGTGATGCGACGCGTATAGATCAAAACGGGTTAATAGCCACTGCTGCACAACCGCACTTTACACGGCACAAACCAAATTAGAGCTCAAACATACAATGCACATTACCACCAGAGTTCAATCCCCGGTGTCCACAATTAAATTGTTAATTTTAAGTGCTGACCGATTACATTCTCAGGAGTGAAGGAAAATAAAATGTTTCTAAGATAAATATGTGAAGTCCGCCAATCCGCAGTGGGACCGCGTACTATGTCTTAATACCTTCTGTACAAAGGAAGCCTTTGCCCAGAAGTGGGATATATATACCTTGTTACTTTACTTTTTTCACTTAAACTAATTGTCTAGGTATAATACTTATTCAATAAATTTTTTGCAAGTAGGTACTGTTTTTGGCCTTAGAAGTTGACCTCTGAATAGGTTCCATTATCGATCGCGGCCCAAGCCGAGGTTAAAACTTTCACCAGAGGGGTCGTGCACCAGCTGCTTTCTTGTTCTAAGAAAAATAAGAAAAAAAGAGTTAATTCAAGAATTATAAGAATTAATTTTCACAAGCTTTTACTCTTGACATAAAATATAATGGGTAATAATCTTTCACCTATGCTACAAGAAAAATACCTAATATAATTCTTTTCTATCTTCTCTATTATTGATTTTTATACTTTTAAGAAATTGATTGAACTCCATGAAATATCCTCTGATTTTATTAATTCTAGGTCATTGTCTTTGTAAATATTGACATAGGTAATTACAATGATCTAAATTTCCTGTGTTATTTAGATAACTTTTAATTGTTTATCCAAAAATGACAGAACAATGCAAAGACATGAATTTATACTAAAAACTATGAGGATCGCTTATAAAAATCCTTCATGTTCATTATTGCCTTTGCTGACGTTGTCTTGACTAATTTGGACATAAGGTTACCGCGGCTGCTTTTCAAAATCTCAATGCAAAGTCAATTAAAACGCGTGGATCTACAAGACACTATAATTTAAGATCTGTGAGCCAATCGGCGAACTCTTCGGTAATTATCGGCGGCATTACCGGCGAATATAATGTCTCATTGTTAATTGTTAGTCCGGGGATATCGCGGGCGGATCTCTTTGCTGATGTCCACCTTATCTTTGAGGCATGTAGTAGTGACCATGAGAATATATAAAGCCACCTACTGACTGCTGGGTTTTTAAACATTTATATAAGCATATCCTATGTTATGTAAGTTTTTTCTTTTACTTATGTAATGATAAAAAAATGAAGATTCGATAGGAGAGGTTGGAAACATAAGTTAATTCGAGGATGTTAATATTTGTAGAAATCTTATAATAATATGAAGGCTTTAACATACTGATATTTAAGCGTGTGCCTATTCTAATTTAAACACATCCCGAATCTTTTTTGTGTTTTGATATCGTAAGAATTAAACTCAGACATCGCGTGGGAGCCTTAGGAAATTCATTATGCTCGCAATTAGCACTAGGTACCGGCAAAGAAATTTTCTAAACTATGTCGCCGTTACAAACAACCTAAAGATAAAAAGGTCCCCTTGAATACGCAGTTTCATAGGCATGCTAATGTGCCATGTTAATGTTGGTAATTATTGCCTCTATATCCTAATGAAAGGGCCCGTTAATATTTTTAGTTTTAAAAAGTGAATGCTATGTGCGTTTTACTATTAGGGAAAATGTAAAAAAAATATTATTTAATGTAGATTGGTAAGGGACATGGCTACTTTCTAGAATAAATTTTTGATAATATTTAAACATGAAAATTAACTTGTCTCATGAGAACGTATTGGATTGCGACTCATTGTGAAATAAGATAAACGATCTAACCACATTTTGTAACTTTTATTAACATTATGGTTTTAAAGATATCAAAATGAGTCAGCGTTGATATTGTTATAGTATACTTTTATAAAGGGTCTCGCACTGTCTGAAACCCTTAAGATGTTTCACGCAGAGCGCAGAGACAGGATCGAGGGAACCATTTCGCACACCACGACCCTGCCAACGCTGGTTGCCTCAACAGCTCCTCCACGGGGAGCCACACCCTCTCCTCTAGCTTGCCTTCCTTCTCCGCTACTCTAGCCCACTGCCTAGAGACCATGGGAGCCGGAAGAGCCACTGCTAATAAGCAGCAAGCGGCACGCAGTGGTGAACCTGGTCTGTTTCCGCCGCTGACAAAGTCTCCAACGCTGAAAAAGTCTCGGCCGCTGAGCGCGCTCCTCTTCCACCGCGGCACCACCGGTTCAGCCCCAAACTCAGCACTCAGTGATGTTTTTTAAAGAAAAAAAAAAAAAAAAAAGTGATGAACCTGGTCTATGGCTCCACTGCTGACCAAGTCTCGGCCACGGAGGGCTACGATAACTCTCCCGCCGCGGCATCACACCTACTGCACCAGCGGTTTAGCCCCAAACGCCAAACGCAATACCAGCACTCATCTTTCTCCGAGACTATTCCTCATTTGCGAAGGACAGAGAGAGCCACCTTTACCATCTTAAGCCTATCTCAACGCCTTCCTGGCTCCCATCCAAAGTGGTCTCAATGAGCCCACTTGGAGTCCATTCTGCCCTTTCGGGAGGCCCAGTGTGGATTCCTCTTGGCGTAAACGTGGGTAACCAAATCACGGTAATTAAGCCTCTTTGCCAGGGCTTTGCGATGTGTCAAGGCGATAACAGTCAACTGAAAATCAAAAAATACTTTGGGAATACCTACTGAACTTTTTGGAAATGTACACTGACTAGAACAAAAAACAAAGAAATTACTGAATTGGAAACAAGTTGTTTAGTTTTAAATTTGCGAGACTTTTTTTGCACTGTGCCGTCTTTTTGACAATTATGATTTGAAATCGTCCTTACATAATATCCTGACAGATGAGAAGACCTACCTTACCTAACAACACAGGTATTAAGTTACAGAGCATAACGTTACAGCGTCGCTTGAAAACCAAATGACAGTGACTGCAGATTTATACGCACAGAATTGTCCAGTGGGTTGAAAAAAATTCGTCAAAAGCATACTCGCAACAATGTCGCCCGTCATCGCCATAACCGCGCATGTTCCGCTAAATAATGCGTAGAAGAACGACTCGAATGTACAACTCATGACCCTGCCATACAGCCCGGATCTTGCATCAGCTACATACTTTTTTATTTCCAAAAATTAAAGATAAGCCTGCATTTACATGCTCGGAAGCGGCGATTTATGCGTTCAAGGATTTTATGCCATGAAAGAGGTCGCTACTGAAGAATGGATCCAATGAATGGATGCAGCAATTTAAGCTGTGAGGAAAAATACTTCTAAAACAGTAAATTTATTATAAGTATAATATTTTTTTTTGTTTAGCAAAACCCAGAAGGTTACAATTTCCTGAGCAATTCTGATTATGACTAGAAATCATCAAACGTCATCAATTATCAGCAATGATCTTAATTTACCTGATACTTCGTTCATTAAAATATCGAAGAATCCTATGTTAAGAGTATAATAATTCTTTATAATTGGCCTCGGAATACATTAGACTGATAATTGGCTCGCGAATATATGGACTTTATTTATTCTTCAAACTCTGGACACTTAGAAGGCTTCGCGCTTAAGAAAGCAATTTAAAGAGACAATGTTGCATTGTTTATGTAATAGGAAAACGTGTCCTTCTGGAACGCTATCTTCAGCCTTATCTTAGAGTGTTTCGGATGATCTTTCCTTGGTAAATACATTATCTTTAACACTTGACGATACTGGGCTACGATTTTTTGCCATTGCTATGATAAAGCCTAGGTGATTGTAATTACTAGGGATTGCGGGCCTGTGGCAGTTACGAGTAAAGGATTTTTAACTGGACATCCAACTAGTGCGACCATCTAAGATGCATCAGCGGTTACAAAATGGTGGTGGCTGTATGTTTTCATAGAGTAATTAAAAGGAAAGCAGTTATTTAAACGGTAAAAAAAGTGTTTGAACTTACGATTGTGATAATTTATGAATAATAAACTCTATCTTCAAATTGAGGTCACAAGTGCTTTCCGTATTTCATCAAGGCTATTTTTAAACGGTTTTATTTAGCTCGACCCGTACGGAATTTGTTTGTTTAGGTCAAAATTAGAAATTGAAATTTAAGCACCTTGCCGTTGTCAGATTGATCTGAAATTTGGTACACACATTTAATTTAGATGACAATACAATATAAAAAAAAAAAAACAAACTTAAAAAAAAATTTATTATTAAAAAAAAATTTGTTTGTTTGGGTCAAAATTAGAAAAAATAAACCGTTTTTGGTACAACATTTAAAAGACAATACAATATTTTTTTAAACTGTTTTATTTTAATTAATTAGAGCCAAATTTTCTAGTAACGATTCATCCACATAAGAACTAAAAAA